ATATATATGAAACAAATGTAAAAAAAAAAAAAAGGATAAAAACTAACCTGCAGTGAAGTTCAAGAGTGAATATCAAAGGTAGACTATAGAAAAAACAAGTTCTCTCATGAAAATTGTAAGTTACTTTCCTAGTTTCAAACCTCGTCATCTTTTTTTACCGTAAATAGAAAAATTATTAACTATAAACAAAGAGGAAAGAGTTTTACTATATCATCCTTGCAAAGCACTAATTACTATTCATTAAAATAGTATTTTGTTCTTTTTTTTTCATGTCAATTAATGGTTTTTTATCCTTTAATATTATATTTTTTTTCTATTTAGTTATTTATTCTCATAATATAAATTGCAAGTTTGATGAGATGACCGGATTTGGTTAATTAACCTAATATTAAAAATTATATTTTATGATTTATTTTGAATTGTTTTTCATTAGATTATTATAGTATCATGACTCGAGAATAATGCTTAATGGTTGACTTGATTTATTGTTATATTGTTTTTTAATTAATATTTTTATAAACTTTATCGTTCAACGTTAAATTCGACAAAGACAAATGAAAATGGAACTTTATAATCTGTTTTTTAATATTTTTATAAACTTTATCGTTCAACATTAAATTCGACTTTATTTTTGTGATGTTATCTCAATCTAAAGATTAAACTTGCGGACTTGACAAGTTAATCCAGATTAAATCAAGTCTCTTTTTATTTTTTTCCTATAAGATTATCCCAATCTAATAATCCAGGACATGAATTTGATAGATTGACTCGAGTTGTTTTTTATATTCTTTTTTAATCTCATATTTCAATATTAGGTTACTTATAAATTGAAATTCATAATTTATTTTGATTTTTTTCATAGGGTTATCTAGGTCTTATGATTTAGGCTGCAAGTTTGACATATTAACTTGGATTATTTTTGGTTATTTTTAAATTTTTTTAATATCATTATTCAACATTAGCTTGATTAGGAATTAAATTTCATAATTTATTTTGATTTATTTTTTATTTGATTATTATATTTTCATAACCCGGATCATGAATTTGACATATTAACCTAAGAATCAAAGTCAATCCAACATGTTGTTATTGTAATATAAAAAAAAATATTATTTTAATTTTTTTTTTGTCAAATTATATTTTTACAAGTTGTATAAATTGTTTTTGAACTTGTAAAATAAATCAAGTAAATCTTCACATAACTTAATTTTTTCTACTAAAAAAATTATTATGAATTTTGAATATATACAAAATGAGGAAATGTTTTATATAGGCATATATGAAGTGAAACAAGCAAAGCCTAATTCCTTATTTCTGTAAAATATTAGTGAAGACGCAACTACAT